AGTAGTGCTTCACATTACTCCATTTAATTCACATGGATCTCTAGATCTCTAAACAGAATACTTTCTTGACATGAGTACAGCTGTTGAGAAGACAAATGAAAAAGAGAGAGTGCAGGTTCTATGCTATATTTGTGATTTTCCCAAATGAAGTTTTTAATCTCTCTTCCTCATATGACTGGATGATTGCCAGGAATTGGGAGAAGAAAACAGAAAGGATTTATTTTGGTAGCCCTGTATTACCGAGCTATAGAAGCCAAAGAGAGAAGCTATTTTCCCCCTATGTAATAAATATATTAATGTAAATTACATGTGTTGCATTCCCCCTCATCACATTTATTTCTGTTAAAAAAAATAAATGTGGCTTGATGATTATTTTAATGCTTTAAAAGGAATCTTGATTTTTTTTCTCTATAAAATTCCCTATAAAATTATGAAAGGTATAGGAAAAGCATACAATAGAACATGGAACCCAGGTACTGACTAACTTCTGCATTTATGGCTCTTTTATGATCTATTTAGTTCACCCAAGGGTGGTTCTATAGTTAGGTAAATGGTGCATTGTCCACCTAAACCCCAACACCCTTCCCAGTGAGCAGGCAATGTGTGCATCAAAAGTGAATTTAAATCCAGGAAGGAAGGAAGGAAGTGGAGGTGGTACAAACTATAAATGTTTGGCTCCACCTCTGTTGACACACACACATCACTCCACCACACCTTGGGAATATCATTTACCACAGGGTTCATTTGCCCTGTTGAACAGGTATCCATGGGGCTGTTTGGCTTCCGAACTCGCAGTGCATACCAAAATCCATGGATGCTCAAGTACCATTAAATACAATGATTGTAATAAAATGGTGTCCTTATTTTTAAAAATGGCAAAGTCAAGGTTTGCTATTTTGGATATTTTAAAAAATATTTTCAAGCCATAGATGGTGGAATGGTGGAATCCATGGATAACTGTACCTCCATCTTTAATTTACAAACTCCTTCTCCTCTTTCTCCCCCACCTCTTCTGAGAATTTACAAAGGCAGAAATGGAATAGCAGTGAGTCGGAGAGCCTATTGATGGGTTTTCCTTATCAATGAAAAGGTGCATCACAATAATGAATGGAATACAAGGCAGCAGCAGGACAGACATAAGGCCATGTGATAAAGACACTTCCATCCTCTTAAAGTTCCACTCTGTAGCCTCATGTGGTAAAATCCAAAGTTACATTTTGAAATTACTGTGATGATTGGAATGAAGTTACTTTATCAGTAACCTTTAGAAGTAAAATCACTTGTAAATGGCATTTTAACAGAACTTTTCATGTCTGAAGTCTTCCACTTATCAGTCCTAAGACCTCTGCCCCACATAATGGAATAACAAAAAAGTAAAAGTAAAGTAATACAACAAACTGCCTTTAAAAAGTTGAGTGAGTAATGAAATGAATTTATTCTCAAACATGAGATTGAACCTTTTAAAAATACTTTTCAAGTTCTGTACCCTAGAAGAAGATGCTGGAGCAGATCTGAATGCAGAACTGAACCTCATTTGATAAGTGGGAACTATAACAATGTTGAAGTCCAGTCATAGTGTCCTGTTTTAGCATCAATTGGTTATAATCTACATTGATTCACACACTTAGCTGGCATATAGATTCTGTTATCCACCACCAAATAACAAGCATGCTGCTGTAATTCATTTGAATTTGACTCCTGATGAAGATACTGTGGAAGCAAGATCTGGTGACAAATCAACTGCTAATTGACTTCTGTGTTTGTTGTATATTTCAGCCTTTTATAATCTTTTTTTGTTTGTTTGTTTGTTTGTTTTCCTCTTACTTAACAACCCTGTTCAATGGATTCTTCTGCATAAAAAAAGATTGTTCCAATTCACTTTTGAAATATTTAATTATTTATTTATTATGTATTTCATTTTTATACCACCTTTCTCCCAGAAAGAAACCCAAGGTGTCGCACAAGATAAAGGCTTTTTTAAAACTTCACAGTAAAAATTTAAAAACAATTAAAATATCTAATAAATATCGAAAGCAGTATTAAATTAACAATAAAAACTTACAAAAGTTAAAAACATAACCAAAACACAGACCCCATATAAAAAACACTGTGTCATGATTATATATTAAAAAGCCTGTTTAAATAAAAACATTTTTGCTTGCCAGGGAAAGAAAAACAGTGATAGGGCCAGCCTAGCTTCCTGTGGAAGGGCATTCCAGAGGGTGGGTGCAGCCACTGAGAAGTTTCTCTCTTGTGTCTTCACCAAGTGAAGCCTGTGATGGTGGCAGGACTGAAAGAAAGCCTTCCCCTGAAGATTTTAGGGCTCTAGCAGTAGAATTCAAAGATATAACTGTGTTAGTCTGTAGAATCAGCTTGTAGAGAGATCTTGTAACACCTTTGAGACTAACTGAAATAAAGAAGTTGGCAGAGTGAGCTCTCATAGACTTCAGTCTACTTCCTTAAATACATATAGTGGAGACTGAAGTCTACAAAATCTCATGCTGCCAACTTCCTTATTTCAGTTAGTCTCAAAAGTGCTACAAGGTCTTTAGCAGGTTCATATTACATTTGTTCCTCACTTTCTCTTATGCCTTTTGCCTTTTCAAGACAACTTTGTTGATGTGGTGACAACTTCCTTTATGAATTTTCCCCAAGGATGTGGATTCTACATGTGTGGAGGGCATGGAGATATGTTTCCATCCTTATATACATGTGTAGTACATATCATAAACTATATATGGCATGAGACCATATACATGTACCATGTCTGCTCCTGTTGAGACTTATTCCTAGAGCGAAGTGCACAAGCATGTGAGCTCAAGGCCTGCAGTATACTACCCCTATAGGGTCCTTACACTGACCTAAAGTCTGAACTGCCCCACAGTACAATTTCATATGTATTTTAATCATCAGGTCAAATACAGTTGTTTGCTTTTAGTATTTTGATCAAATCCTTCCTGAAACAGAATTGCATATCAACGCTCCCCATATATATATATTTACAGCTTCCTTCAGAGGAATTATTATCAAGGGGATATGATTTCAAAGACAAGGATAAAACTGGATGGCTTAACACCAAGGGACTTCTAATAAAATCTAGATGTCCAATGCCTTTGAATATCTCCCCTCAAATGTCAAAATAAATTAACAAAGTACCTTTTTTAATGTTTGCTCATTTTGTTTGATAAATTGCCAGGCTGTGAAATTCCACTGGGCCTTCCAGTCATTAGGGTGAAAGAGCAAGTTCTCCTGTATTTCTGAGCTGAGCAAAATGATGATCAATAAAGGATTAGGTGTCTTTTTATTAT